ATATATATCGCGTACGTGCTGGCATGCCATAAATATGTGTGCGTCTGCATGAGAGCCAAACAAAAATTATATTTCTGTTTGTATTCGCAACAATTTATTTTGACTGCGTTAACGCCCACAGGCGAAGCTCCACAGAAGGAGGACCCCATCCTCGGACTCCCAATGGGGCAACCAGCTCCTATTGCCCTGATGGCTTATGGCAGCATTTCACTTATGGCTCAGCTGAATGGAAGCAACCCAGTTAGCATCTGCTGCCACCTGTCGCCTGCTCAAATGCAAATTCCTGGCCAAGTAGAGGCAAAGCCTCGAGCTAACCACACACAAAGCCTCGCAGCAATTGCAAGTGCAGAGGGCCACAAATAGGAGCCCATATTTGAGGAGTTCTCGTTGAGAAATAAAAAGAAAACTCTATAAATATTTACGGCCATCTTTGAAGTGGCTCTGACCTGAGAGGTAGTAGCCAGAGCAAGCACCGTCAATAACTCAAGCAAGACAGAAATTCGGAACAGGCAATTCAATTATTTAAAAACAAATTAAATCTTTACTCATACCTCGCATCTAAAGTATATTTGATTAATGTCGGCCAATGTATTGTTAGGATGAGCAGGGCATATATTGTAGTTCTGTTTAGTATAGGAAATTGGCAAACTCAACATCGCCTTAGCAGACAGCAGAGAATAGTCGAGTATCAGAAATAAAAACGAATAGAAGCATTTCAGTCGGGCATAATTGGCTGTACAATACTCGTTAACTTTTTGAAAATGGAATTTTTATGAAAGCGAATATACTCTATTGATTTTTAAGGGTATAGAGCATACACGAAATTCATAGATTTTGTATTATGTAAAGAGGACAACAGTTATACTGCAAATTATGGTGAAAATAACTCTAAAGACCGGAACAATATAGTGCTTCTATGTATTTTACCTACCGGCCCAAGAAGCGTGAATATATTATTTTTATAACTTTCACATATTATTATTAATATTATAATTATATGCTGCTAAGAGTTACCTATTCTCCATCCACGTCGCGTTGCCATTGCACAAAACCAATACACCCATACATATATCGAGTATGGCGAGTATTTAGAAAACATGAGAACCCTCAAGCGCAAGGAAAAGAAAATGAAAAAGAAAAATAAATGGAGACTAGCCAACTAAAAATTTAAAATGTGCAAAACTTTGCAGTTGTAGTAGTTGTTGAAATTGGAAAATGGGCAGCGGGAAAATAGGGGGAAAACTGCGAGCGAACCGCAGCTAACTGAGCCAAAGCTCAGCTGAGCTAAAGAGGATAGAACAAAGTCGTCTGCGGCATTCAACGTGGCCCGTGTGTCTTTGTCTAAGCGGGAAGGAGGAAGGGACGCAAAAAGGTGCAAACACGGAGCAGGTACGAGATACGGGCAGGCGAAAGACTTGATGATGATGATTTTCAGATATATATATAATATATGTATGTATATATATGTATCTGGCTACATCTATCTCTTCCAGCATGTCTGTATAGCTGCTGCTGCTGCTGCTGCTGAGATTTTCTTTGTGGTTTTCCACTTCTTTTGACAAACCATTTTCATTTTTCACAAAGTGCGCTGCAACTGAAGGCAACCAAAGTAAACTTCAAAGGACCTCCACCAAGGACTCCCCTCAAGGACTTGAGCTGGGTCGCCATTTTAGAACTCCGCCAGCATTGGTTGACGCCCACACGCTGTTGTGGCCAACTCCTGCCACTGCTACTGCCCCTGCTCCAGCTCCTGTTTCTGCTCCTGCTATTGTTATGAAATATGATGAAATATGAAAATGATATTCCACCCCAAAGGCTGCTCGTGCGCAATCGCATAGTGCGCTAACCCCGAGGGGGCACACACTGCCGCACTACCACACTGAAGCACTCCTATATCAGATGGAGAACTCGTTTCGACATGCCAATGAAATTGCGGCATAGCAAATATTATCACAACAGGCCACACAATTGATGTTCGTTTAGTCAGTCTTTGGCTCTCGGCCAGCGCACTCATCAATCAAACGCACTCAGAAGCTCAACCAATCATCCAATCGAACAATCGCTCAGCCGTAATGCTCACTCGTCGCAGCCACAGAAACACAACAATTTTCCAATTAAGCGACCAAAAATTTGAGCATATGATGATTATTGACGATAAGAGCTCGTAAGGAGCTCCAATCCACTCGTAAAATGTGCAAATAAATCGCACAATTGTTTCGTTGTTGGTTCTCCCCGTCTCTGACCTCCTCCACTCCCCCGCTCAATGCCAGACTATCTACGAGCATTGAAACTAAAAGTAATCTGCGGCCAAGCCAAAACAAAGAAACTTTCATTTCCAATTTTCTTGATGTATTAAATTATTTACGCCCTCTTGAGCACAGGATTTTTCGTGTGCGTGGCCAGCCATACCGACTATGATGAGATATGTACATACACAACGATATATGAGTACATATATGGCATACTATATACATATGTATAAAGACTACATAAAAGCATGTGTATTCATCTGGTTTTGATGTTGTTTCACCATATATTTTGAGAGTTTTCTGACAGTATTTGAGTATTCGTAGCAAAAGTATGAGGAATGCTTTTATTTTACGATATTTACACCCTAAATAAAACTAAAGAAATCAAGATATAATGGTACATCAGATGCAAATAAAAGAAATAAAATTCGAACACACTTTCACACGATTAGATATAATTAATAGGCAAGACGCTATTAACCAAGTAGAAAGTGTTGAAAAGTGTCTCCAACATTTTTCATCACGTTAATTGTAACGAGTAAGAACGTTGTAATCGGGTGCAACTGACTGCATGATACACGTTCACGCTACTAGGCCAGATTAATTTAATTTAATTTCTTTGAGCATCATTGTTTTCGGGCATTAAAATGATTTCTCTTTCCGTCGAATAGATTTCTTGTAATACCTCTTTTACTGAGTGAGCACAATGTTTCATTTTACCTCTAAAATCATCTGTTCACTTATAATTTTTAACAGAAATGTACAGCAGATCAATTACGAATCATTTGTGAAATTATTGTATTTTAACTCTCAGACATAGATAAAATAGCTTAAATTATATAAAAGTAGAGAAAGAATTGAAAATTTTTTTATTTTATCTACTCAAATTTTTAATATCTAGTTCCAATTTATTATAAAAAATAATAATATAAATAATTTTTAGCATCAAGTTCTATTTCCTTCTGCTTCCGTATCATAATTTTGATTGATTTTAATATGAATTTGGATAGATAATTTAATCATAACGCCAATCGAAATTAAAATACTGAAGGCATTTCATTAACCATTTCTTCACTACTTCATTACTTTATTACGTTAAATAAAAAATAAAATGTTTGCCCTTTTATAAATTCCAAATTAAATGTTTCTCCAGATTACATTAATAGACTGTTGGACAGACTTTCTAATTGCCAGACTAGTTTCTCGAGCCCAATATACTCTCGTACACTTTGCGAACGTGTATTTAAAACTGTCCCTAGTTAACAAATAAACTAGGGTCTTCCCCCTGGGGGCCGCTTTCATTGTCAGATTGCAGCAGGCCGGCGCTCCTAAGACACATTTCGTGCAAGCTTTTTACAGTCGCTGCGCAAGTTGGCGGCGAAGAAAAGAAAATTTCTTAACTGTACTCAACTCAATTTCACCCACCGGGGCCCACTGCACCAAATGTGCAGCCTAGCTCAGAGCATCGGCGGCTTGCCGAGGCCAGCAACCCAAGCGATCCATCTTCTCACATGTGCAGCTGGCTGCGCTGCGAGGGACCAGCCGTGGCCAGCTCTTTGGCTGCTTAATTGCATTATGGCACGCATCATAAAAATGCATTAGATTTTCCAAAAACTGGCGGCTCATTGCTGCTGCTAAAACTGCTAACCGTTTTGAATTGCAGCTCTCCAACTAGGCTCTGGCTATTTGTTTTGCTTGAAGTCTGTTCTACTAAACTAATTTCAGATTGGTAGTAATTTAACTTGAATAATTCTTTAACAAGCTATGCATTTCACAAGTCAGTTTGTTATACCCTGTTATACCCTAGATAACTGTGTCCATTTTCATATAACTTAAGATCTTAAGTGTTAATTCCTTTACACATCCCGGATTAAACTATTGGTCATTGTAAAGTATATATTGCTGTAATTTGGCTCATATATACACATAATATATAGTGATATTCCAAAAGTTTATTTTACTCACTCACTTTAAAGAATCACATTAAATGTATCAAATAAAAACAAACCAGCTGAGTGATTTGTAATTTTGTAATTTTTTCCCATTTTCATAAAACTTTGTTATTGCAGTACATTTCAAAGACACAATTTTAAGAAAATTGTTAATTCAGATAAAATATACCTTTAATTCAATGTGGATAAATAAATAAAATCGAAAAAATCTAATTGCAAACATATTTATATGAATGTACTTATATCCTATATATTACTTTCAAATATGTATTCAGATATATAACCATATAAAAACCACTTAGCAGTATGACTAGGATATTATGTAGTCAAGCAGAAGCTTAACTCTGTTGTGTACTCTCTATAGATGTAAGTTGGAATAATTATAATGTTCATCACGGCCACAGGGTATTTGCTAGTGAGGCACTCTAAACAAGATCACTCTTACTTGCTTCTCACAATTAGCCATTTCATTTGATTTTATATTTTTCTTGATGATGATTAACTTTTGTTTTTGGTTTTAGCTGGAGCCCTGCAACCTTACACTTGAGACTTGTACCAAACGCCCTTAGCAATATATGCATACGTATTACCAGATATCCGGCGAGGCGAAGAAAGATCTGTTCAATAAAAGCAACAGCAGAAGGCAATGCATTTGGCCAGCTGAGTCAGTGCAGCAGCACGAATGCGATCTGAGCATGAATGAGCAAGAGCATCCATCCCATCCATGGGTGAGCAAGTAACGAATACATGTCAGCCCCATAACGCCAAATGCCGATTATACCGATCAAAGAAAGGCAAATTTTGAAGAAGAGTAAACAAAAAGCAAAAATATGGCCAATTTTAATTGGCCAACACCAGTGGCAGCCAGATCTCGCCTCGTCTTTCCAACTGAGTGAACAGCCTTGGCCATGGATCGCAATTTATAAAAGCAACGAGTCGACAGCGTTTTCGCTGGAGTATCATTCGAAGATCGTTGGCGGTTGGTAGCAAGTGGAAGTGGACTCAAGTCGGAATATTCATACGATATATCAGCAAGCAGAACAATGACGCGTCTCGAGTGGCTGCTGCTCCTGGCGTGTGCCGCCAGCATTGGAGCGGGTGTGGAGGCCGCCACAACTCAAATGCAGAGACGACGCCGGCACAGCATCGTTGAGAGTGCACAAGCTGCCCCTGCAGCTGCAGCTCCAGCTGGCAGCAGCGATTGGGGATTGGGACCGGAGCTGACATTGGCCCGGCGTGTTTACGACGATTGCCAGGGCAAGAACGACTTCGTTGGCTGCCTCAAGCAGAAGGCGCTGCACGCCTTGACGCGCGCCCTGGACCAGGACTCCATTAAAATCGTGGACGGTCTCGTGCTCGAGAAACAGAACCACAGCGACACTGAGAGCATCATCGGGTCGCTGACAGATGCCAGGCAGTTCGGCAACCTAGCGCCCATCGATCGCGCTCTGCTCTCCAAGGCTGACAAACTAATGCGCACCCATGCGCTCAAAGTAGACATGGACCTGGACTTGGACGTGGGCGTCGGTCGCGAGCATGAGCATAAGAAGAAGAAGCACAAAGACGGCGGRCACATCAAGTATGTGATTGCTGCCCTGCTAACGGCGATGGGCATTGCCGGCCCGCTCGGCCTGAAGGCGCTTGCCGCTATTGCCGGCAAGGCGCTTGTGATTAGCAAGGTCGCCCTGACCATTGCGGGCATCATAGCGCTCAAGAAGCTCTTCTCGCACGATCACAGCGAGGAGACCAGCTTCCAGGTGCACGCCGGCGAGCACAACAGGTAACTCTGACCCTCTACGCATGCCCAGTCACAAATCAAGTACAAATCAATCTCCATCAACCATTTTAGACGCAACACGTACGTCATCAGGCCCGTCTCGAAGACAAATGCTGGCGTGGGCGTAACAGCTGCCGGCGGCAGCTCCCCGGTGGATCCATATCGCTACTACTACGAGTACCACCAGAAGTAGATACAGAGCTCAAGTCTTTGCTCAAGTTGCGTGTGCGTGCGGATGTGGGTGTGTGTGTGTGCGTGCTTAAACGTCGTTATTCTCCAAAGCCGATGCAGCTAGACTACCAAAGAATCGAGCCGATCCGAATGCAGTGAGGTCAAGTCCTTACATCCTTTTGTGCGTTAAGGGACGGGCGCTAGCTCTTATTGTAGCTCTTTAGTTTAAGTGTAAAATAGGTTACTTTCAAGTGGTTTGCACATAATAAACAAGTATTAAGTGTTACAACAAGTTTTACAAAGCCGTTTTATAAAATACTTTATTCGGAATGAAAGCTGTAAATGGATTGAGTTTATATCCATGAGACAATCGATCGGCACAATCTGTTTTTGGAGTATATTAAAAGTGTATTTCTAGTTCTAGTTACTAAACTTGTTAAACGAAACAAATATTGTATATACAAACTTATTAATACTAACAGAAAACGAGTCGATCGACAATACACAACTAGGAAATTATAGCCGGGTGCAACCCATTGAAGACAATTTTGAAAAGTATTTGCATTATTTGTAATGTTAAATACTATCATATACATCTTAGTCGGAGTCATCAGATACAACGTAGGTTACTGTTGCCTTTGCTCTACGTCCCCTACTAGAGGCTTCCAAAAGCCCTTGAGCAGCACTTGATGAATTCTGAGCGAGAAAATAAATAATGAATAACATGAATCATAGGTAGAACTGTAAAATTAAGCTTACTTTAGTGTTGACGGACACATCTAACTTAGCTTTAGCCCGAGTTGCAGCTGCACCTCCTCGACCACGAGTTCCAGCGCCTCGACCAGCTCCGCGGCCAGTAGCTCTGGCACTGGATGTCACTTGCGCATCAGACAGATCGGCTTCATTACTTGTCTTAATGTTGGCAAGTGAGCTCTTAGCTTCTGTCTTAACGCCAAAGTCATCCAGCATTTTAAGCAGATCATCAGCTTTGTAGCGCTGCCTGAAATTCTCAATTTCATCATTTATATTCTCAATGGCAGGCAACGTGTCCATCAAATGCTCAACAGCCTTTTCATTGTAAAATCTGCAATTTGAATATTTATAGCAAGTATTTTGTTTGTGTTGGCTAAAACAAACTTGAAAATTTGGTCCGCGGCATTGTTGTCGGAGCGCTCGACCATGCGGTAGGTAACCTCCGCCAGTGCCTTGGAGTGTAGAAGCTTGAGCGGATTTTTGTCTTTGACTTCTTCGAAGTACCGATCGACTAGCTCTTCCACGCGTGCCGTGTTCTCCACCTCCTGCAACCACAATGAAATTATTAGCTTGTAAATGACGATTTAGATTTAGAGAAGCTCCTTACCATAACACGCTGCATAGCATCTTTATCTATATTAACCTTATCACTTTTCGTTCTCTTGATTAGCTTTTCAAATTTGACAACATCTGCCCCATTGGCCACACGACTGCCAAAAATTTGACCGAAACGAATGGTATTGAACATGTACGTCTCATCAGTATAGCGAAGACGTAGACGTATCAGAGGAATCGTCGGCTGCTTTGGATGACCCGTGAGCAGAGTTTTGGCCTGCTCAATCATGTCCTCTACACGCTTTATGGCAAAGTTATACACCTTTGTGGACGCATCGCCCTGCTTTAGGGTCAGTTTGTCCACATAGTCCTCTAGATCAATTGACTCAAAGATAAATGGACGCACAGTTTGCAGCGGCAAAGGCTTGAGATTAAACTTTGTTTTGTAAATTTCTAGCAGACCCACGTGCTTTTTTAGCGATTCACCTTTGGCCAGCGAAGTAGCCACTGACGAGCCTGGTTGGGACACGTAGAAATCGCGTAAAGCGTTTACTTCCGGCTCAATGCGACAGTCGTGCTCATGGCCCCAAATTACCAAATTCAGAAAAGCTGGCAGTAACTCTTCAGGCAGATAGTTCTTCGGACCGCGATCTGCGCGATTCTGATGTACAACCATTAAATGGAACCAATCTTCCTCGGACTCATTTGGACAATTAATAGTCACTTTAAAGTCCTTAAAGATACGCACTAGGCGTGCATCGTGAATATGGCTTAATCCATACAGTGCCAACTTGGTTTCGCCCTTACGGATCAAGATGGGGCTTATCTCTACTTTTGTAAGATCAGTCCAGCGACCAAAGTAGTTAATCAGACCCGTTGTGCTAAGCAAATCTAAGGAGCTCAAACGGCCAAAGCCACTCGGGTCGTCATGATTACCGTGTATAGAAAATACTGGTATGGAAATATTTAAATTGGGATCCTCGTAGTTTACCGACTGGTTGACAGCATTGTAAAAACATTGTGACTGATCACTGAGTATTTCAAGAGGTACGGGCTTGTCTCCAAATGTATAACGCCTCAGCAGTTCAATGCATCTGCAAGAGAAATTTCAATTTATAAACAAAAATGGAAGCTCTGCAATAACAACCCGACTCACTTGTACATAGCATTCTGGCTTGGCACTGAGTCATGAAATAAGTCACCTCCAAGCAATATCATATCCACATCCTCGGACACTGCCAGTTCCAAAATTTCCTCAAATGCTGTAAAGCTGTCTTCGCCGCGCACTGCGTCCTTCTCAGCGTAGCCCAAGTGATTGTCCGTGGCCACTAATACACGGATAATATTATCTACATCCTTTTCAGCTGCATCCGCCTCTGCCATATTTAATTCAGTTTATTATGACAGATTTACTTTCCAAAAAGGAATTTCACAACTGAAGCGCGGGCCGTGACGCGATTTATCGATAAGTCAGCAATCAGCTGTCGTTGCTGCCATAAGCGTCGCCACGGGAAGTCTGGCAACGCTGCTTAACATTAAATTAGTATTTATTTCACACACATACATACATACATAGTCAATTTGAATATCAATCAAATCAATTCAAATATTGATATAGACATCCTTGAAGTTTAAGCTAATAAGCCCGTATGCCCATCGTGATCAAATGAAACCTTTCTTGGTTTATTCATTCATTCAATTCATATTTATATATGTATTTTACCTCTGGCCAAACAGCTTAAAGTTTTTTCAAAACTACCGAAGCAATAAGAGAATAAAATTGACCTTATATCAAGCTATATATGTTTGCGTAAAACAATTTAAAGTATACCTTTTACTAGACAAACATCGTATGAGCTTGACAATGCAAATATCCATATTTTGTACATAAATGTTAACAATCGACTTGTTCATTTTTTTCGCGCCGAGGTTTTATGAAACGTCTGGCAGCACGGCTCTCGGAATTAACGGCAGGGCTATAATTCTTTCACTATTGTGAACTAATCATATTTAAAAATCAATTATTGTGGCTATCAAAAGATGTGCTATAATTTCTTACCTAATACTTTTACAATTTAATCAAGACCTAGAAAAAAAATACATATACATAAATTATGTAATTATAAAAATCAGACAATATCAAGTTGCAACTATAAGCTCTTAATATAAGCTCAAACTATTTAGTAATTTCACAAGAATTCATATAATAATGTCTTATTCTTTTGAAGTGGTTATAGAAATCTCATATTATTTGTGCGTTCGATAAATTACAAGCGTCCAAGAGTAATTGTAACTCGATTGTGAAGGGGACAACGGTTTATAAGAATGCAACACTCAAATGGAACGTACTTTTGTGTTATTGGCTATCTTTAATTGAAAATCCTTAATCGCTTAGTAGCAGCTAGTCCACCTCTGCTAGAAGGTTCGCCACCAGATGTCGTCAGTGCATCATTCGGAACAGCGCTGCGGTTGACAGCTGGACGTTTATTTCGTGTCTTAGTGCCAAGGGAATTCAATGCATTAAGAATATCGTCAGCCTTGTACCGTCGTCTAAAATTCTCTATTTCGTCTTGTATATTCTCAAGGGAAGGCATCTTTTGCATTAGGTGCTCTACTACTTTATCACTGTAATATCTGCAATTGTAGTATTCATTAAAGACTCTTCCTTCTATATCGAACAAATAAACTCACTTGAAAATCTGGCCAGCTTCATGGCCATCCGAATGCTTCACCATGCGCAAAGTAACTTCCTTCAATACCTTGGAGTGAAAAAGCGTGAGCGGTATATCCTCGATATACCGACCTAGTAAATCTTCTAATGTCGTTAGATCATCCACCTCCTAATACATATTTACTTTGTTAGAAAAAATAGTAGGTGATTAATAATGGGTCCTCACCATGCCAGACTCCACAGCAGCATTTGCTGTATCATTTTCGGTAAGCCTCGTAAACCTCACAACATCCGCGACATTAGCCACACGAGCGCCAAAGAGATGACCGAAACGAATAGTATTGAACATGTGCGTCTCATCTGTGTATCGGAGACGGAGACGTATCAGAGGAATCGTCGGCTGCTTTGGATGACCCGTGAGCAGACCTTTGGCCCTCTCAATCAAGGCCTCTACACGCTTTATGGCAAAGTTATACACCTTTTCCGCTGCATCGCCTTCATTTAGGTGCAATTTCTCGACGAGATCGTCGAGATCGATTGACTCATATACGAATGGACGCACAGTTTGTAGTGGCAGCGGCTTCAGGCTCTCATTTAGTTTGTTTATTGTCAACAGACCGACGTGTTTTGTTTTCGACTCCCCCTTTATGAGCGACGTGGCTACCGATGACCCCGGCTGGTAAACTTTGAAATGACCAGAAGCGCTCTGCTTAAAATCAACGTAGCAATCGTGCTCGTGTCCCCAGATAACCATATTCACAAAGTCGGGTAGACGATCCTCGGGCAGATATTTCTTGCTACCACCACGATCTACGCGATTCTGATGTACCACCATCAATTGGTACCACCCCTCTCCAGACAGATTATCATTATTAAAGTTGATTTCAGACTTCTCTAGCATACGCACTAGCTGTGCATCAGGAATGTGACTGAGCCCATAGAGTGCCAACTTGGTTTCGCCTTTACGAATCAAGATGGGGTTTATCTCCACTCTTGAAAGATCTGTCCAGTGACCAAAATAGTTAATCAGACCTGTTGTGCTAAGCAAATCTAAGGAGCTCAAACGGCCAAAGCCACTCGGGTCGTCATGATTGCCGTGTATAGAAAATACTGGTATGGAAATTTTCAAATAGGGATCTTCGTAGTTTACCGAATGATTGAGTGCACTGTGAAAAGAAAGCGATTGATCACTTAATATTTCCAACGATACGGATTTATCTCCAAAAGTATATCGCCTCAGCAACTCGAAGCATCTGCCAGAGGAATTCAGGTTTATTTTCAATTTGAAGATTTATTGTCAGTGATCTACTCACTTGTACAGCGCATTTTGGCTAGGCACTGAATCATGAAATAGGTCCCCGCCAAGCAATATCATATCCACATTCTCTGACACTGCCAGCTCTAATATTTCCTCAAAAGTCGTAAAACTGTCTTCGCCTCGCACTGCATCCTTCTCCGCGTAGCCCAAGTGGTTGTCCGTGGCCACCAATATGCGAATACTATCGTCTGCATTATTTCCAACTGCGACTGTTCCTGCCATGTTCTCTATAGGTCTACGATTTTTGTTTTACGGAACGGGATTTCTCAAGTTAAGCGCGATAAATAGGAAATCACCTGTAGACCTTATCAGACGTGACCCAGTACTGGAGTGGTTTTGATGATAACAATATACTTTGGACCCATACTGATAACTTTTGGCTATGTATAGCAGTGTACGAATACCCATGCACTGCAAGTTTCTTCGATTATCCCACAGTCACTTGAGGGATTATTCCCTTCGACAGCCTGCGCTTTACTTTGAAAATGTTCAGAGTTGAAGTGAAGCTTCGCAAGGTAACGTAACGTAATCCATTGAGTGTAAATTATTTAAGTATACTTAAACAATTGATGATCCTTGTCTTCGAATTCCCAAACATAGCTATCTACAATAGGTAGCGATTAGCCTATTTTTTAATTATTAATTTAACAACTGATGCAATTAATTTATAGATCTTCGAAACCAGACTTTAACAAAAGCATAAAGTTTTGTTGATGAAGCATCATTTTAATGGTTCAATTTATTTTGTATCAATTTTATTTATGTAGTAAAGAGTATGTATATCGTTTATGTCTAAGTATAGTCGTATGTCTAAGTATAGTCGTTGATGACGCTGACTAATGAAATGCTATTATGACAGGAGCTAATTACTTGATCTAATAAAAATATAAATATATGCTTTTTGAGAGCATGAAATAAATCTTACCAAAAATAATTTAATTGCATTAATTATTGATTATTATTTTTGTTGATTAGTCGTTGATTCAAGACTTCAACATTCATAGAGTTCTCTGAAATGCGAAAAAAGCTGTTTTTCCGATATGCTCACATTTATTATATAATTTCCTACTTTATTTCACAAAAAGTTAAAATTAAAAATAATTAAAATTAAATAATTCTTTTAAAACTTTCCTGTCATAATATATAAAGGTAGACTGTTCACTTTGTATAAATATTTGTTGTTGGTTGATAGCCTTAATCTCCATTGCAATTAAACATATCTTTGAATTTCTACATATAAAAATAACTATTTAACTAATTATTTTATAAAAGCGGATAGAACTAAGCTATCCATAAATAGCATATGCTCGAGAATATTTTTGATTACTCTTACTTAAATCAGTTCAAAATAAAATGTTTACCCATTCTATTCCACTCCTTTCGAATCACAGCCTGCTTCTACTCGCTTAAAATTGAATTTGTTTAATCCAAATATGGCATTATAACTTCATTGATAACTCCTTTGTTCAAATGCCACGAAAGGTGATGTACGAATGGCTTAACAATAATAATTAGTTTATTAGCTTCCAGTAAGGTCTTCAATCCGATTGAGTCATTCATGTAGATTTCCCGTTTATAAAACGGAATCACATTCAATGATTCATTGAAGTAACTAAAATGACTGAATGAAACATAGTTTAATAAAATTATATATAATATTTATATTGTATAGATTTGTATATGTTACCTAGATTCCCATGGTGTAATAACATCATCGTTTGGTCCTCCGATTAGGACAAGCTTATTCAGCCGTACCATTCCCATTTTGAACGAAGTTGAATTGGAGCTCAGCTTCTCATTGTTTATCAAGGGTAAGAATTCACTATATTTCATATATAGGTCTTGCTTATGTGGGTCATTCCAGTAGCCGCCTACAGATGTGTGTTGCCCCACCCGCGAGTAGAATAGCTCAAATGCTGTCTTTGCCGCAAGATCCGGGAAAATTAAGTGCAAGAAACTTGCTGAAAGCGTAAAGAAGTTTACTAAATCTTAATCACATATATTTATATATATTACATACTTCCATATTGTCCAGCTTGAGGTGATGATAGCGATATAAAGGTTTTTACATTGTGGTCGGGTAAGCTTTGAATCGCCGCCCTCGCCAAGAGCCCGCCTTGAGAGTAGCCTGCATAGAGGATCAGAAATCAACAACATAGTCCAAAGATGATTCCTAATATTGACATACCTAATACAATTATGCCTTCCGGGTGCAGTTTTCCAATTTGATCTAAAATTATACAGAAAAAATTAATAGATGAGATCTTTTAAATAACATTAACTCACCTATGTAATCTTTTATTTGTTGGACTTGCCGCCAGGCATTCTCCAGGCTGTACCACCCGCTGAACTTATCGCAATTGTATACGACTGTACCCGGATGCAACTAAATAGAAAACATATAGAATTAAAAAATTGACTTTGAACTTGTCATTGGAGGCAAATGGACAATAACAAAGAACGGTTCGACCCCCCGCACTTACTTTCTCAATATGTCGCACCAAAACAGTCATAGATTCAGCTCCCGATAATATGCCATGGAGTATCACAACAGGCTTGTACGCCAAAGACCCAACAAAGTACATACATACTATTAGCAAGTATTTTATTCTCATTTTATAATCCGCAGACGATGTGCGTCCTACCGAAAAGATTTTCTGCGTTTGTTTTATTTACATAGCTACAAGAAACTGCTGTTAACGGAGGAGTGAGTATGTCCAGAGAGGAGCACAACTGTTAGTTATCCGACTGTTATTAAATTAAAATTAGTATGCAGCTCAGCGTTTACAGTTTGAGCAAAAAATTTATTAGTATTCGAAAAAAAATATTGAATATGGAAAAGCTCCATATTGGAAATAAAAAACTTAATTTCTATAATTATGCTCATTTATTTCATTCTCACCTTAGATCAATTTTGTTATGTACTTTGCACTATTAAATCTGTTCTTAAATATATGTATATGTGTAGATGCGGCAAACAATTAAATACATCGAACTTATCAAGCCCTTAATTTCCGTTTCAAATTTTAAAATTACATTTTCAATATATATACATATGCATATATATATGAGGATGATTTACTTGAAGCTTCTTTTTAACATTTATTTATTACTAATAATAGAAGTGCTCGCCCAGGCCGTTCGTTACCTCCGCTTCAGTTTCAGTTTCAGCTGCAACTACAGGGATTGAACTTCACCCAGCCACCTCTTCGCTGACAAAGTCCAGCTTAACAACCTCCGCGGGCAGGCACTCCTCCACATCGTTCTCCTGCACATTTATCCTGTTCAGTGTCATCGACACATCAGGTCCGCACTTGAGACCAGCATTCGTTGAGGTGTTTGATGTGGTGCTCACCACATCCTCTGCTACTACAACGGCGCCCACTGCACCAGCTGTTACAGCTGTTGCTCCGACACTTGGCGACAATACTGAGCTATTTGAGTTGGCAGGCACAATGATTTGTTGTGTAGCAGTTGTCGCCACAATTGGCAGCGATGTCTGCTGCATCGCTGTCGTTGACGTGGGCTGCTGTATGATGATGTTCTCTGTGATGGTTGGCGTATTGGCGGCTGCTGCTGCTGCTGCAGCAGCTTGTGCTGCGGCTAAAGCTGCTGCTTTTTGTTGCTGCATTTGTTGAAATTGTTTGATTGTCACYGTTGTTGTTGTTGTTGTCGTTGATTGCTGCGGCTGCAATATAATTTGTTTTGCTTGCTGCTGCACTTGTTGTTGCTGCGGCTGCTGCTGCTGTATGATGTGTGATTTGAATACGTGTTGCTGCTGCGGCTGCTGCTGCTGCTGGACAATTGGTAACTGTTGCACTGTCTGTATAACGTGTTGCACCTGCTGCACGGGCACTTGCTTTGCTGGTATGCCAGCATCCTCAAACGCCTTCTTCTTCAATGCCTGTCGTATTTGGGAGCTGTAGGAAGCAGAGTTTATTTTATTGAGGTCATATTATTTCGTATCATGTTCTCTCGCTCTTACACTGTGCGATTTTTAATGCTTAAACTGATTTTGCTCAGATCATCGGAGAAGCGCATTATGGACGAGTGTAACATGTCAATTTCCTCATCTGTCCATTTACTGTGGCATAGCGAGGGAACATGAAATTCAGTTGTACTTAGTTCTTTATTAAAGCTCTTTTTCATTTATAGCCAACTCTCACTTACCCAGAGGGAGATTCGGCATTTGGATGCAATTGCATTGTCAGATCGCCGAGTCTGCTGAACGCTTGGCCGGCTGCCGTGAAAATTTCCCCAACCTGTGCAAAACGACAAATATTTATATACGTGCATTCAAATCGAGTTGTTGTTTATGTTTAGCCTTAGCATGCGTTGCAAATTCAAAACAAACGCGCCCCATGAAGCAAAACATTTCGCTAACATTCGCTTTCGAAGGAGTGAGATGAACTGAACGAATGACGCTCAGCCGCCAAAAATTTTGCAACGCACATAGGAAAAGAGGCATTTCAGTTGAAAAAATGCACTTGAACTAATTTTAAAAAAACTGCGTGTGCTTTAAATATACCTTTGTTGCCGAATTCATGGCCCACTTAAGCAGAATCACTTTTTTTTAATACAAGATTTAATATGTGTGTGGAGGCTGGTCGATAGCTGCTCGATCTCTTAGCAATGCAACTCTTGTATTTTCAAGCTATCAAACGCATTGTTATCGTTTATATCGATAAGCTCGCTGACAGTGTTCCCTCCTTAATTTACTTTATTGCATTGTTGTATGGGGCGCCAAAAGTAAATTTATTTAAACCATGAGTGCTTCAATTTAAAATGTAAGTTGTACAAATGGCACTCATTATCATAATTATACACTTAAACAAATATATCCTAAATATACATATAATCACTCAACGCTGTAATACTATGAAAAATAAAAAACACAAACAAACAATTTATTTTGTTGATGCTACAGCATCGATGCCAGCGACTTGACGTAGTTCATCCAGCTCATCCCGTCGCATTTTAAGAGCCCTTTTGGCGTATTCATATTTGTTGGAAAGCGTGGAAATTTCCTTCTTTTGCGCCTCTAATTGGGACTGTAAATGTAAAACAATTTGGAATAGTTTTTACTGTTTACGTTAAATTATTCAGAGGTATAAAGACGTGTACCTTAAGAGCGCTGATTTGACCAGCTGTTTGGGACGATATATTGGAGGTATCGTTATTTTCATTTTGTCTTAACTGATTTTCCAAGTCTTTTATTTTATTATATCGATGACGACACAGTTGTATGCTATCATGGAACTTATCAGTCATCTTTTTTAACTCCGCTTCTAAAGTGGATTCTGTTTGAGTCTCAACCGTTTTCCCCTCAACAGGAGTTCGGCTACTGGCCGTGATGGCTGCAGAAGCTGTGTAGACGTTTATTTTACTCATAAGTTCCGCGTTCTTTTGCTTTATACGCTTGATTTCATCACGCGCTTTGGCTTGTTCATCAAGGAGACGTTTCTTTAATAAAGCTGTCTCCTCCTTCAATGGATGGTTCTTCAACTCAATATTTAAAGCAGTCACCATGCTTTCCTTTATGAACAGCTCGCGCTGACAATCCTGCAGCTTTCGGTCAAGTTCTGCACAATTGCAGTTATTATCTGAATGAGAAGTGGATTAACTGACTGTTAGAGTTTATTAGTTCTGTAAACCTACCCACGGGATCCGTCATGCAGCCCACATGACGGCAATCATTCCAATAGGATTGACGCCTTCGTTCATCGTGTGTGCTAATTCGTCGATTTCTGCGCACCTCAGAATCAATGCTCACAGATTTCTATGGGTAAGATACACGTCTAATAATTAAAAATATTCGCAAGTTACGATAAAAAAAACTTTTTACCCTGGGCTGGTTGAAATCACGATCCACACTTCTTCTAGCACCAGGCGATGTACTCGATGCGCTTGAGTCAAATGAGGTATTGCTTCCATTAGTTTTCATTCGTAACTCTGCCTCCAGCTTCTTGAGTATCTCCGTGGTGGTGCAAAGTTTCTCCTCCAAGCTGCGCTTATCCTCCAAGAGACTAGAAATTGTGTAATCCAGGCGTTTACGTTCTTCGTCAAAGATGCTTCTGTTCGCTATCTGCATTCGAGCAATGGTGGCATAAATGTATAACAATTAAACAACTGAGAACTTACCTGGGAAGCGCGAAGATTATCAATATCTTTTTGTAAGTTTTCTTTTTGCAATCGCAATTCATCGATAGTTTTATTATCTCCTGCAAGAGCCGTCGCCAGCCGCTCCTCCAGTTGTACGAAAGCTATCTTCTGTTGTTCGGAAGCTGTTTTCATGGCATCGCAGCTTGCTTCCATGGCGTTTAGCTTGTTCTGGAGTTCAGCTTTATTTTCATGGAAACGGCGCTCTTGATGCCTCAATTGCTGCTGCAAAGCATCGCAATTTGCTTCCTTATCCAGTAATCTCGACTGCAGCTCAGCATTAGCCTCTTTTAGTCGTTCTTTATGCACCAGAAGTTGAGTAATTTCTCCCTCTAGGCGTGATTTCTCCTCTTCGAGTCTAGCACTAACCTCTTCGAGCCTGATTTTCTCTTTTTCGATTCGATTTTTGATTTCTTCGAGTTTTTCTTTGTCCACCTGAAGCCGAGTTGTGCTTTCTTGAAGTCGAGCTGCCTGCTCTCGTTCTCTTTTCAGAAGATCCTGTACATTTAACATATTTCTAAGATTAACTGTGAGCTGATTGCGTAAGGCATTCGCCTTTAGGTTTTGACTCACCAGTGAATCAAGTCTCAATTGCAGCTCCCCCTTCGCGCTTTCCAGGTCCACCAACTTGCGTTCGAATTGTTGAGCCTGTTGCACTATTTCCGCCTCCAGTTTTTGTAGTTTATTCACTAACTTGGACTGTTGGGAGCATCCCTGTTGCAAATCCAAGTTCAGCTTTTCAACTTCAGCCTTTCGTGTTGTTAGCTCATTGTTAGCCAATGACAATTCACTTTCAAGATTCTCCACTTTATGAGTGAGCTTTATGTTGAGATCGTTTTTCGCACAAAGATGAGTTTTGATTTCTTCATGGTCCTGCAGAAGTTTCTCCAAATCAGAAGCCTTTAGATTTGCCTGCCGCAGCTCACTTGACAGGACTTCAATCTTGGCATTTAAAATTTCAATTTTTTCCTCATAGTCAACCTTTTCATCGGCATACGCACTCAGCTCAGCATGCAACTGTTGCGCCAGGCTCTTCTCCTGTTCCCGTTCATCCTGCACCTTGAGCAGTTCATTGCTCAACTGTTCGATCCTCAGCTCGCTTTCAGCAACAGACGACTGCAATGTGCCCTTCTCTACCTTCAGCTTCTCCAAAGTAAGCTCATGCTCGGTCTTCAGCCGCTCGTACTCATGAATTTGCGATTCGTACTTCTCGCGAAGCAGCTGCAGCTGATCATTAGAAGATGTGACCAATGCATGCTCTCTCTGTGCGTCCTGTTCCTTGCTGCTCAATTGAGCTGTCATCTGTTGCACTAGCTTCTGGCTTGCATCATACATTGACTCCAGATCTTGCTTCTCCTTAACCAATTGATCGACAGCTAGATTATTCGCACTCTTGACAGACATAATCTCAGCTTCGCTATCGGCGCTCAGTTTGGCACAACGCTCCTCAGTCGATGATAATTGTATTTGCAATTCCTGCAACAACGCTTCGTAACGGTCCTTGCTCTCCTC